AGGGTTGTTTCATAAGTTTTTTTTTTCTTTTATGTAGAAGTGCTAGATAAGGATGACAATGAGACGAGTACAAGTGTCAATATCCTCGTTTCCATATCTTTTACCTGTTCTCATTTTTATACTTGGTGAGTATGAAATTTCATCTTCATTTTTGTTCTCGTTGGATATCGAGTATACCTATACTCGTTCAAAAACTAATTGAGTATATTTTTTTATAAAAAAATATAAAAATAAATAAATTTTTTAACAGAGAATAACAATTATAAAATTAATTATTTAAATTTTATTTGAAATAAATTTAAAATAGAATAAAAATTATATAAATGTCAAGTAAATTCTAAATTTTTTTTTTAGAAATTTAAAACGGATACAGGTATGGCCGGGTATGAGGTAGGTATCTATATACCCATCCCCATTCTTGCACCTAATTCAATAAATCAAATATTACTTGTATTTGTATTCGATCAAATTGGGTATTTTTCGTCAAAGTTAGAGCGACTTCGCGTATTACCTAAGAATACAAGTTTACTTATCATTCTTAGTGATATAAGTTAAAGATATAGTTTATTTAATGAAAAATGCTTCGGCATCTAAATATAAATTCCAAAATATTGTCCAACTTTTAAAATAATAATAAAATATTATTTAATTTTAACTTTTGAAAATTTTTACTTCTTCCAAATTTATCCTTTGCACTTTCCTATGTCAAACACTTTTTTTACTTCTTTTTCTTCCTTATGCCTACTACTTCGTGTGAGAAACTTAAAGAGTAAGGCTTCAACAACATATTCAAAAGGAAAAGAAAAAAAAAGGAATCAAAGTTAAAGACCCATGCCAATTTACTAAGCATTGACTACGGTGGACAAGCTTATCATATTGTCCACTAGTAGATAAGTGAATAATAACAATTTTTATTTATTATTTTATATAAATTATTTAAAATTACTATAAAAAAAAACCTTTTTTTAGAAGTTGCCACTTGTCGATCGTCATTGCCACTGTAGAACCCAATGCAATCAAGGTGGATTTAGGGAAGCGGGTTAGGGCTTTGTGGGCTTGATCTAATTGGATTTCAGTGAAAGAGATGCAATTATGGAGAAGGTGTGCAACAGTGTTGGAGGTGGAGTGGAAAGGATGGTCCTGTGTGAGTATGTGATGATGAGGGAGTGGGCGGAGGAGAGCAAGGGTGACACAAGAGAGGAAGAAAGGGGAGGCAAAGTTGTTGGAGGTGAGGTCGAGGGAGTGCGAGCAGTGGAGTGGGAAGGGTGGCCTTGTGACTACAGTTGTGGTTGCGGCGGGGGCCGGGGAGGTCGACAACCACATTGGTCTCCTCCTTGAAAGAAATCGATTTGGAAATTTTGTCTTCAAAGGCCTTCTTTGCATCTTTGCATCTTTGATGCTTGTTGGTTTCTCTTTAGGTTCAGCTTCAACTTTGGTGGTGGTTATTAGCTTTTCTACGAGTTCAGGATTAACTGGGGTAGTTGATGGGGGTAAAAAGATCGACGACGGTGACGGGCTGCTCTTCTTCCGTCGAAGCTGATTTTTGGGGTTTGTCGATGCTAGTTTTTGGGGTTCCTGGATGAATTGGAAAGGAAAAAATTATGAATAAAAATACACATTTTAAATAATTTATAAAATTAATGCAATATTTCTTTCAAAATTTTATTTATTGAAATTCAAATATATATATATATATATTCAAAGTGATTTCATATTTTCAATTTTTTTTAAATAATTCATGAATAAAATAAAATTAAATAATTTAATATTTATACAAAATAGTCAAAATTAGAAAATATTGTTATAGGAGAATCAAAAGAATTAATTTCTAGTCGAACTTCATACTTTTTTTAATGATCTTATCATTAATCATAATATTTAATAAAATTCAGTCTTTATATTTATTTTAATATTATTTTTTATCAAAATTTAAAGTATCTTAATGAAAGATAGTTTTTAATAATTTTATAATAATATTTATGTGTGTATATTTAAACAATTGTATAAACTTCTATACTAAGAAATTATTTACAAATAATATAATAAAATGTATAACTATTTAAATTAAAATTTATTATTTTAAAATATATAAAATAATTAACACTTTGGTCGGGGTCTAAGGCAATGACCTTAATGACCTTGCCTTAGTCACGACCTTGTATTGGAGGGAGAGAGAAAGGAAGAGAGGGGAGAAAGAAAAATAGAAGGAGAGATAGGGAGAGGGAGAAAGGAAGAGAGAGGGAGAGGTAGAGAGAAAGAGAGGGGGAGTGAGTGAGAGAGACTGAGAGAGGGATAGAGGAAGAGAAAATGTGTGATAGTGAGAGAGAGAGAGAGATAGAGGAAGAGAGAGTGAGTGATAGTGAGTGAGAGAGAGAGAGAGAAATAGAAGGAGAGAGAGATAGAGGGATAAATTTTCCATTTTAAAGGGGATATTGTGATCTTTTATATGCATGAAACTTTCTCCTATACTTAAAAAAGTTGGATTCCCACTCCCATGAGAATGTTTTTGTGAGAAAGCGGGATAACAAGTATTGAATAACCCGGATAAAACATCACAAAGATAGAATACCTATATATTCGAGTATTATGATGAGACTTCTAAATAACATTAGAGCTGTCAAAGTGAACTATGACTCGTGGGTCAACTTGGCTCACTTGAACTGAACTTGTGGTGAACTGAACTATTCACTTAACCTACTTACACCTCTATTTTATTATCCAATTTTATTTATTTGTGTATTATGGTATATAGGATAGAGAGTGTTATAAATAACGTTAAACCTTTTTCATTAGTAATACAAGACTATAAAACCTTTTAATTTTTGTTTATGTAAATTTTATTTTTCTTTTAAAAAATATCAACTTTTAAAACTTTTATTTTTAGTTTATATTGTTAAACATCATCACAAGAACATTAATTTGTTGACATCATTATTTATCCTAAACAAAAGATGACATCATCATATCATGTCAATATAATGGCACATCATCAATAACGGTCACCATAATGACATATTATCTATTATGTTAGCAATAGTACCACATTTTTTATATGATAAAAAGACTAAAATTAAAAAATTAAATTTATAAAGACTAACTTTTCTATTTAACAAAACAGAAAATAGATGAAATACTAACAATGTAAAATAAATTTTCATTGTCAACCAATCACAAACTATTATTTATGATTAATTGCTAATTTTTATAATAAACAAGTGATAAATTATATCAATAGTGATATTTTTTTTATTGAAAAGTAAAACTCTTTTCTATAAAAATAAAGTAATATTTCCAATTATGACTATCAAATTGATTTTAATCTTATTTTTTAATTAAAAAATACAAATATTAAAATAATTGAGTCAACAATATTATTTAGTCATAATATATTCTATTAATTAAATTTGTAAATTATTTTATAGTGAAAGGAAGTATTTTAACTCTATCACACCATTTATGATATTCTTCCAATATGATAAATATATATTAATTAATTTTGAGCTAAAATCAATTACTTCAATCAATTCATGAGTACTCTTTTGATTTTTACAACTGATAGACAATAAATCAAGAGTTAAAAAAAAATGTCCGGCAATGTGTTCGACATTGAATTTTTTAAATTAAGAAAACTTGAACATGTTATATAAAAATTATAGATTATGACAATTGGCACACTAAAAACAAAGAAATGCAACAAAGAAAGAGACAGCAATGGTTGAGTCTTTGTGTTTTGCATTGGCCATTGGTGGGCGTGAATGCGGCATCCCATAGCCCATTACGTGGCCTAACCTTAATCACCATTTTCACATGTTCTCCCCAATTTCGGTAATTCAAACTTTTCATATATCTTTACCTTTAATTTTAACCATAATTTCATTCATATCATTTATGGATGCTTTTTATACATTTCATCAATACTTTTAAAGATTTTAAAAATTCAAATATAAATATCATAGATTAAAATTTCAAATTAAAATATTTTAAATATAAAGAGAATTTTTATTTTATTGTTTATTTGTAAATTATAATTTTTTTTTGTGTAAACTACAACATGGGCATTGAGTAGAATATTTAAAATAACTTGAAACAGCCCATATTGTACTAGTTAATCAAAATGTTTGTTGGTTGCTAATTGTAATTTAAAATAAAATAAGTCACATCATTAAGAGTATTCAAATGAAATGTTAATAATTTTTTTTAATAAAAATGATATAAATACTACTAGATTAGAATAAATTTAAGTGTTTATATTTATAGCAAAAATAATTTATTAAAAATTATAATTTAAAATTAAATTAAATTAAAAAATCATTTAGATATAAGAAGAGAGAAAAAAAATCTGATCTTTACCTTTTAAGTTTGTATAGTTAAAATTATTCTATTTTAATTTTTATGTATATGATTTTTGTCCTTTTAATCTCTAAAATGTCATAACTTTTACTTTTTTTTAAGTCTGTGTAATAGATAAACATAAGGAATCAAAACAAAACAAAAAATTATAAACAAATGTAAAAAACAAACATTTTAATTATAAAAACTAAGATGAAGTATATGAGTTTATATTCTTTTCTGCATGATTTTGAGATAAAGTGATATTCTAATTTAAATTAACTCTTAAACGACTACCGTATTTAAAAGTTATTTTTAGATAGGAGCCTTTTGAGGAGATTTTTAATTTTTTTTTAATCTAATTTAATTTTTTATTTATCATATTTATTTATGAATTATATTTAATATTTTTAAAACAAGTTATCAATAATTAAAAATATTTTTTTTTATAAATATAGAAAAAAATTACTAAAAAAATATACTTATTTATCTCAAATCTAAAATATAATTTTACATTTAAAAATATTTATTTATACTGATCGATATATTTAAATATAATATTTATTTATACATAATTATTATAAATTTTAATTATATATAATAAATATTTTTCATGCCATACTAAAATACTGGTATAGAGAGTAAATGTAAACAAACATGGTCTTCCTTTTTTACGTAAGCACGAGTCTACGAACAAGAATAGATGTCCAACGATATAACGTGTTTATGTTTCAATGAAAAACAGAATCTGGTTCCACCCAACCCCATCTCCATGTCTCTACCACTTTCTTCTCCAAAATGGCTCACGCTCACCATATCTGCTAAACCACTCAACTCAATTCTATGTTATCTTGTTTTCCTCATCTTCGATCTTCTTGATGCTGTTTTCTGCGTTATCTATGGATACCTTGATGAACGCATTGAAGGGGAGGCTTCCCCTTGTTGCTGCTCTAACCGGGAAAGGCAGAAGAGGAGGATGAATGTGGCAGATGATGGTCTATCTGATAGCTTGTATGAGAGGAAGAACACTTTCAGGGAAATGGGGTTCCTTCAATTTGGGAGAAAGAAGGAAGGTTCCAATAGAAAACATGGTGGAGGTGGTGGAAGGTCACTGAACCGTTGGTCTGATTGTGGCTGTGAGTCTTGCCTTTCATGGGCCAATGATGGAAGTGACTATAAACTTCATTTTGTTTTGAAGGAGCCCTTGTTGGGTAGGGAAGTTCTACTAGTTTGTTACTTTTATGGACAAAACTTCCATGTAGTTTCATTGGTGTTCTCGATATAGTTCTAAGATCAGAATTGAAGTTTTATTTCGATGCAGTTTCATTTGGTGTTCTCGGTATTGTTCTCTTATCAAAATTGAAGTTTTACCCCAATATTCTACATAATTTAAGGTATTCATTAAATGTCAATGCAGGTTTATAAAATGAAATTCCAATTCTGGTTGAAGAATAATGTGAGAAACACTTGTGCAATTGCATCTAAGTTTTGTACTACTATTTGGTGATCCTTTTCATGTCTCTATGCATTTTTCTGTGACTGATTTTGTTGTTAATTGGTGTTTGACAGTCACTGGTGAGAACTTCAGGGGAAACTCTTCTGAGAATGTGATATTCTTGCATGGATTTATGTGCTCTTCTTCATTTTGGACACAGACAGTGTTTCCATATTTTTCTGAAGAAGTGAATGGTGACTACAGATTGATTGCCGTAGACCTGCTAGGATTTGGTAAGAGTCCAAAGCCAAGAGATTGCTCATACACTTTGAAGGATCATGTGGAAATGATTGAGAAATCTGTGATTCAACCGTTGGAGTTAAGTAGTTTTCACTTGGTTGCACATTCCATGGGTTGCATAATTGCATTGGCCCTGGCTGCAAAGTATCCCATGAGTGTAAAATCAATCACCCTTGTTGCTCCTGTAAGTACTATTCACCAAACTGGTTACTTTGCTTATGAGGTTTGAGAATTGAACTGCTAAGAACCAAATTAAAAAATTTGTGTAAATTATTTGTTGCCACTTGGAAATTGGAATCAATACCACTTGGAAAATAAAATAAGAACAAATTATTAAGTGGTCCAGTTTATTTGATTCCTAGTTAATCATTACATGACTTGTAATGTGGAGATTGTTAAAATCATGGACACTTGTTTCTGAACTACATAAAAATTTATTCAAAATAAGAGTTTTGATTTTTCCCAAAGACTAATCTGTGCCCAAAGCATTGATTAAGAAATTAAAGTAAAATAAATTGTACAGAAATATTATTAATGCACTTTCACTGTGCTTATAATGCAGAGTTTAGCACCTCTGCAGTTGTCCTGCCACTCTAGCAAAGATATTTACCTTTTATAACCAATTATATTTTCACCTTTTATAACAGTTAAATGTAAATCTAATAGCTATACCAAAAAAATGTAAATCTGTCTATGAATATATGTGCTAGAGAGAATCCAAGTGTTTTTTTAATGCATCCCCAACATGATTTCTAATATAAAAAAAAACCTTTTATTTTTTAATTTCTTAACCAGGACCTGACACTGGTTAACAAAATCCTTATTTAATATTTGTTTTGTAATGTCTCCTGAATTTCTTCATTCTCCTATGGTCTTGGTTGCAGCCATACACATCTTCAGAGGGAAATGATGCTTGTTTAAATGCACTATCAATGCTTGCTGGAAAGAAACTGTGGTCCCCATTGTCATTTGGTTCTTCATTTATGTCATGGTATGAGCACTTGGGTCGAACCGTTTGCCTTGTCTATTGCAGAAATCACAGAATGTGGGAGAGCATTCTAAAATTCATTACTCGCAAGAGGTAATATTCATTCAGAAAATAGGTTAAGCACCGACAGTGTAAAATAATTTTACAATGTTATCTAATAACAAATCATCAACTTGTTAAGTTTTATAATAAATAAATAAAAAGTTATATTGACATGGATTTCTGATTAGTTGATGTAAGTGTATACCAATTAAACTCATGAACATTTATTGAAAGACTATAAGGTATTTTAGGACACTGAAATGATATGCATGCCTTTTTTCACCTTTTCCCAGGGATCTTCATTTCTTGACCATGGACATGACCAGGCACACTCATCATTCAGCTTGGAGTTCCATGCATAATGTGATATGTGGGGGAGCAAAATTTGTGGATACTTACCTTATAATTTTGACCAAAGTTGGTGTCAGAATAAGTGTCATTCAAGGTGATCAAGATCAGGTTGTCCCAATGGAGTGTTGTAGAAACTTCAAGTTGAAGGCTCCAAATGCTGAAATCAACATCATTCCAAATGCAGATCACAGCACTGTAATATTTGGCAGAGAGAAGGAATTTGCATATAGTCTGGAGCATACATGGGAATCTTGCTGTTGATACGAGTGAATTTTAGTGGTGAAATATGGAATCATTTGTAGTAGATTTTGTATGAGAAATAAAATAGTATACAACATAACCTACTAATGCCAAAATGTTTAATGCATTTTTTTTATAAATCTTTTGTAATGGACAATTATTTGTTGTGTACTCAAGAGTGGCTCTATTAAATATTTTTCTATTGTTGAATTAGGTGAGAAATATGTAAATTATTTTTAAAATGTATTATACTATAAAATAGCATATTTTATTTTCAACAAATTATTATATATGTTGTTTAACAGTTTTAAAATAGCATACTATACTAAAAATAATGTTTGGTTGAATTAATTGATCATGTATAAATTAATAAGAATATCATGTTTTGTCATATTTTTTTTACATATTTAATTTGTAAAAAATTTGACATTTTTTTAAAAAAATAATCTTATAAAACATTGTAAGTATAAAATATAAATAAATGTGTTCAACACACGGAATATAAGAAGAGCAAATCCCTACCAAAAATATGAGAAATGATTTACTAAGAATAGAGCATGTACATGTGCTAAGAAAAAGAAAGAAAAGTTTTAAGCTAGACGAGGATAAATCAAATATCAAATGAAGGAGTGTCAAGGACAACCTAGAGCACTACATAAGAAATCAGACGAAGCATTAGTCAAAGATCAGAAAAAAGTCAACTATGCAACAGACGAAGGACAACACAAATCGAAAAGTATTCCAGATGGAAACAAAGTCTGTCCATTTACAATGTTGACCAGATCATAAAAAGTCAAAGCATTAAGGACAAATGCTCAGATGAAGATCAGATCTTGAGACGGAAATGGACTAAGAGACGCAGACGAAGACTGCCATGAAAGCCTATGAAGAATCAAGTCTCAAGGGACAAATTAGGCATCATCTATGATCATACGAAAGCTCTCAACATAATCGCGTGGTTAAAGGAAGAGAAGAAGAAGAAGAAAAGAACACAAAAGTAAAAACATGCATGTGTCAGAAAAAGTGCATTCCTTTTTTAGATAAGGACAACGCTCTACAGCTACGTGACCGGAAAAGGACAAAAAGTTCCTAGGTCTCAGCTAAAAGTCAAACACAACAGCTAACAAACATAGAAGACTTCATGCAATGTCCATAAACAGGAAGCAACATTTAATGTAAGATCTTCTGCATTAAATGAAAGATCAAACTGGTCATGAACGATTACATTCAGCTTCAATGGACATTTGCAACGGGCAAATTTCACAAGACTATATATATCACAACTTCAAACCTGGAAAGGTTGGCTTTTGTAGAGATAAGAGAAGAGTGATATCAAGCCCATGAAGCAATGAAACGAGAGAAAGAGCTTTAACAGTCAAATGTACCATAGTGTATTTATCTCTGTAGACTAAGGAGTTCCAAGTGTAACTTAGGAACATGAACCTTAGTGAGTGTAAAAATATATGTATCCTCTCTATGAGAGTAAACCACACACTCAATCTTTGTAAAACTAAGGTTGTATACCTTAATGAGTGTAGAAATTCTTGTATCCTCTCTATGAGAGTAAGCCAAACACTCAACCAAATCATATATCCATCAATGGTAAAGCCTGAAGAGGCTACGGAAAGAATACTTGTCAAGCCTAGAGAGGCTTGTCAAAGAATACTCACTGAGAGCCAGAAGTGGCTGAACAAAGAATACTAGCGCTAATGGTGAAGTTAGCAGGCCAAGAGTTAGTCGATAATACTCACTAAGAGCCTGAAGAGGCTGATTAAAGAATACTAGCGATAATGGTGAAGTTAGCGGGCCATGAGTTGGTCAACAATACACATTGTGAGCCTGAAGAGGCTGATTAAAGAATACTAGCGTCGACGAGTGAAGTTGACAAACCAGGAGTGGTTGAGAATACTCGGGACCAAGAGTGGTTGTGACCTGGATGATCTAGAATACTCACTACGAGCCTGAAGAGGCTAATTAAAGAATACTAGCGCTGATGAGTGAAGTTGGCGGGCCATAAGTGGTCGATAATACTATATGTACTTCATTAAATATCTAGTGGAACCCTTCTATTAAAGGAGATTGGACATAGCTCAGTCTGAGCGAACCAGTATAAAAAACCTTGCACTTCCCATCTATTTATTAGACGCAGACGTAAATTTTGTTTAGCAAATTTATTATACTGAAAGCTTCGTCTACTGTTTATTTCTTAATGCAACTATCTTCAGACGAAAACCACACATGTTTAATTTATTATCTTAAAGAACGATTTTCATTTAAGAAGTATTTTCCTTATGCAAACGATAAAATCCCAGACGCAAAAGTCTTTTGTTGAATTGACCCTACACATGTCCAGTTTAGCATTCAAAATAATATTTTAGTAGACGAAGAAGAAATCCCTTGCGAAAATGTTTTTAAAATTCCTTTGTTCACACACACCCATATTCAACCCCCCCCTTCTATGTGTATTTCCGCTAACCTCAGTAATCAATTGAATCATTCTTCTAGGCCTTGAGCAAAAATCAGGAATAAAATTTTGATTTCCTTTAATATGCTTGGTAGAGAAGTTATACCTAGAGAACCAATATTTTAATATGATAATATGAGGATCAGGAGGCATGTTGTTTTTTAAATTTGAGGATCTTTGGAAAAGATGAATTATCCATTAAAACTTCAAATTGGTATCCTCTTAAACAAAAATCAAAATTTTTAATTCCATTTTTAATAGTCAAAGACTCCTTGAAGGTAGTGTGATAATGCTTTTCAGCTTCTTTAAATTTTCCACTGACATGTTACTAGTAGAATTTCTTATTGTTGATTTTTTCAATAAGAGCTCCCCAAAAATGATCACTTGCATTTGTTCGAAGGATTTTTTTCCCTTGCTCTTGGAATTTTTAGTGTTGGAAGAGTTTGAACAGTATTTTTTAACTCTTGAATAGCTCAAGTTTGTTTTGATCCCCATGGTGGAGGGTTCTTTTTCAAGAGCTTTGACAATTGACTGGTATATTTAGCTACTTGAGGAATGAAGTCTTAAATATAATTAAGAATCCCCAAATATTTTTGAATTTGCTTTATTATTAGGGATTGATCCTAGAAATTGAAAAGTTTTTCAACTATGTGAAGTTAAGTTGATAAGTTATTTGAGAAAATGCATTCCAAGAAAATCAATCTCAGATTGTGTTAGATGAATTTTCTTCTCAAACAACATGATACCATATTGATATGTTATTTCAATTGATTCAAAAGGTACTTGTAAGAATCCATCTCCTTGGAGAAAAACAAAATATCACCTATGTAGATGAAAGTGTTTTCTAGGATAGATTCAAAGATTATGGTCATCGCCTTTTGAAACAATGAAGGGGCTACCTTGAGGCCATAATGTAATACCTTCCATTGATACTATGCATTGGGAATGCAAAAGGAAATTTTATGTCTATCAGCTGGATTGATGCCCAATTGCCAAAATCCATACTTGAGATCAAACTTTGAGAAAATATTTGTCTCTTTGAGGACAGACAAAGACAAAGCCTTAGGAATAGGAAACTTACCATCTTTTAGAAAATAATTAAGATGTTTATAAGCAATAACCAACCCTTTTTTTTTCTTCAAAGCTTTTTTTTTAATCTCTTTTCAACATAGAAAGCTTGACAAATCCAATTTGATTATGTGGATTCAATGAGACCTTGTCTGAGCTATTCATTATATTCTTGTTTGGCTAATTTGATTTTTTATCTCCAATTTTTTTTATCTCTTTACATCTTCATTAAGTTTGAAAGGGATTTGAATGAAGAAATCTTCATTCTTCCATAAAGGATTAATTTGCATGAGAGAATTCTTCATGACTATTAGCACACTACGAGACTATCTTACTTTTTATTTCAGCAAACTCAAAAGAAGCCTCAGTTAAGGAGAACAAACTTATTACTTCGGTGAAGGGTTTGAATTCTCTTTTGAACTTTATCCTAGTGGGATGTATTTGAAGTTTGTTTATAGCAAATTACTTTTGACCAAACAATACATTCTAGGAAGAATCTGATTCCAATAGAGGCTTTTGTAACAAGATCTATCCTGAATATATATTTCCCATCAATGCAACAAAATAGGCTACTTATTTTTTCTAGAATTTTTTCGAGAGAATATTTGGATTCATCATGGTTTTTTGAGCTCCTGTATCCATATATGCAATGGCTTTAATGGAATTTTCAAACTTTGGCAACAATTGTTGGATCTTTACATAGGTTTGTGGAGAAGATAGATTAATATTGCAACTTCTTTTAGAAAAAAAAACTGGAATTGATTCAAGTTCAAAACCAGAAGAATCATTCTCATAAAGGGATTCTTTTAAAGCAAAAATAGTTTCCTCATTTGTAGAGCTTTGCTTAGAGTAGATAGATTCTACTTCATCATCTCCAAGATATAGGGATGAGATGAGTTTGATGGCCTTTTTTCTACTTTATTAGTGGAATTTATGAAAAAAAAATGACCTTTCTTTTTGTAAATAAAACACCTTTGGTCTTTAGATCTTCTTTTTTTTTTCTTAAAAAATTTGAAAGATTTATTGTTTCTTTTGTCTTTAGAAAACTTGGATAGCTTTTTTTTTGTTGAGCAAGAACAAGTTTTATCCTTGCATTTGATCTCTAAATAGGATTTCTTACAAACTTTGTTGCATTTAGATTTTTGATTCATGATATCAGAAAAATATTGATGTTGTATACAAATCTTATCTATAGTCTGTAGATTCATTAGATGAATTTGGCCCATAATCATGGTTGAGAAATTGTTTTGAGAAGCCGTAGTCATTCTATTAAGTTTTAGCTGAGTTTTTTATGGCAAAGAAGCTATATAGGTGTTTTTCAGGTTGGGATCATTGAGACCATTTTGGAGATAAATTTTTTAACCAATTCTTTGAAAATGTTTGTCAAGATTTCTTATTTTGAGAGAACAACATCTTATATCAAAGAATTCCTATCTTAGTTTTTTGTCAATGATATCTCCATCTCCAATGGATTATTGATGAAGAGCTCTAAGAACAATTGTTATTGTATTCAGGCTATGAAGTTGATCTTGTTGCATAACTCCTAAATTATGGTACAATTCTTTCAAAGTATTGGTCATTTTGCAACAAAATTCTTCAATAACTTTGTAGGAATCAATATCCTTCATTTGTCGGGAGGAATATCATCAAGAGTAAACCAAGGTCCATAGTTGAGTTTTGAACTATTAGATTTACGAGGAGAAGAATTGGCTTCATCATCAAAAGAATCATAGAATATTCCTCACTTCTG